TGCACCATCAGCGGGTGCTGATCAACATCTCGGGGCTGCGCTTCGAGACGCAGCTGGGCACCCTTAACCAGTTCCCCGACACGCTGCTGGGAGACCCCGACAAGCGCATTCGCTACTTCGACCCGCTCCGCAACGAGTACTTCTTCGACCGCAACCGGCCCAGCTTCGACGGCATCCTCTACTTCTACCAGTCCGGGGGCAAGCTCCGCCGGCCCGTCAATGTCTCCATCGACGTCTTCGCCGACGAGATCCGCTTCTACCAGCTGGGTGAGGAGGCCATGGAGCGCTTCCGGGAGGACGAGGGCTTCATCAAAGAGGAGGAGAAGCCCCTGCCCCGCAATGAGTTCCAGCGCCAGGTCTGGCTCATCTTTGAGTACCCCGAGAGCTCCAGCTCAGCCCGGGCCATCGCCATCGTCTCCGTGTTGGTCATCCTCATTTCTATCGTCATCTTCTGCCTGGAGACCCTGCCCGAGTTCAGGGACGAGAGGGAGATGCCCGTACCTCTGCCCCCACAAGGTGGAGGTTTAAATGGCACGCCCGGGGACTCCCCACCCATGCAGCCACCCAGTAGCCTGGCTGACCCCTTCTTCATCATTGAGACCACCTGTGTGATCTGGTTCACCTTTGAGCTCCTCGTGCGCTTCTTCGCCTGCCCCAGCAAGCCCGAGTTCTCCCGCAACATCATGAACATCATCGACATCGTGGCCATCATCCCCTACTTCATCACCCTGGGCACCGAGCTGGCCCACGAGCAGCAGCAGCCCGGGGCTGGCAGTAGCAATGGGGGTGGGGGCCAGCAGCAAGCCATGTCCCTGGCCATCCTCAGAGTCATCCGCCTGGTCAGAGTCTTCAGGATCTTCAAGCTCTCCAGGCACTCCAAGGGGCTGCAGATCTTGGGACAGACTTTGAAAGCCAGCATGAGGGAGCTGGGCCTCCTCATCTTCTTCCTCTTCATCGGGGTGATCCTCTTCTCCAGCGCTGTCTACTTTGCTGAGGCCGATGACCCTGAGTCTCATTTCTCCAGCATCCCTGATGCTTTCTGGTGGGCTGTGGTAACCATGACTACTGTGGGCTATGGGGACATGAGACCTGTCACTGTGGGGGGCAAGATTGTGGGCTCCTTGTGTGCCATCGCTGGTGTGCTCACCATTGCCCTCCCTGTCCCTGTCATTGTGTCCAACTTCAACTACTTCTACCACCGAGAGACTGACCACGAAGAGCAGGCTATCCTCAAAGATGAACACAGTAGTGCTCAGGGCAGCACTGTGGGGGGAGAAGTGAAGAGAAGACCCAGCAAAAACTCTCTGAACAAATCTGTTGTGCACTTGGAAAACAGTGAGGAGTTCAACAATGGCACCAGCTCCTTAGAGAAAGCAAATATCAAAGCAAAAAGTAATGTAGATCTCAGAAAATCCCTCTATGCTCTCTGTCTGGACACCAGTAGGGAAACAGACCTGTGAGGAGAGGAGACGGTTAGAGTTCAGAGGGGCAGAAAGATTTTCTGGTGTCAGAAACTTGCTACTATAATTACTCTTTTAGTACCAATTAGTTTTTTAAATCAGGCTGTACTTTATAAATTGATCACTGTCCTGAGCATTCCTTCAGGAATACATGTTTTTGTGGTTTTTTTCCATGGCACAAAGGGTCACCTATTTTTAAAATAGACTAAGAATAAGCTACACTCCATGATGCAGGAGCTAGTAAATTATGACAGTGAAAAATCTAATTTGTAGAAACTTATTTTACGAATGATCATTGGTTTTGAATGGGTAATTTGTAACCAATTCAGTTGCTCTGAGTTTAGTGTAAAGAACTGGGGGGATGTGTGTGTGGAGAATGAATGGATTGGGGATGGGAGGGAGGAGGTTGAGGAGTTTTGTATTACAGTTTCAAATTGAAATTATTCAAATATATTTTGTATCTGTATGACTGTATTTATGGTTGAAAGGAGATTTCTTATTCCTGTGAAATATGATATCATTAAAGCACTAGGAACATTAGCAAATCAGCACTTTCTGAGTTTTCCAGTAGTGATCAGCACAGATCTGGTTATCTTGTATGTGAAGTGAATTTGGTGCTTTGAACCCTAGAGCAGAAAACTTCTGTTGTCATTGATATGTTAGTTGCTTGTGAGCCTTAAATTATTAAATATTGTAGATATACTTCTTTATAAATAATTTTATTAGTTACCTTCCTGTTTCAGAATTTCTAAGTCATTCAGTCATGTGCTTACTCAAAAAAGTATGTGCAACTTTTTTTTTTTTTGTGGTTTTACAGTTTTGTATCTTTGTTATATTGTTGAGACCTAAAGGAAAAAAAAATACACTCTTCTGCTGTTACAGGTTTAAATCTAGTGCACAACAAATCTAAAGTGATCTGAACAGATTTTCAAGTGCACAACAGATCAAAAACATGAGGGAGTGGATAGGCACAATGAGAAAGTAGAATATTGAGTGTAATATCTGCAGAACTGTTTTCATTGTACACTCGAGATTCCTTGAGCGTGTGCATCAGTCCCCTTTATGTATGCACACACCATTTGTGTACACAGTTCTCTGGTTTTAGTTCTCTCAGACTGGGAGTGGATGGCACTTCAGGAGTCGAACGTAGCGTGCTGTGCTGCTTCAATGACCATCGTGTGGCTTTTCTCTTGGACACGGATGAAAAGCACCATGTTTCCATCAAAACACACCCCTGGTTTCTTGTATTTCCAAACAAAACCTTGTCAGTGCTGTGGATTTTACAGTTGAGGTGTTGTTGAGAGACGAGTGACACCTTGCCTTCATCAGGATCACAGCTAACTCTGAAGACCGACAAAAAGTTGCTCCTTTAGCTCAAAGAGCTTTCTTGCAATTTCTCTTGCAAAGGACATCTTTGTTTACCCCTTCAACTTCTGTTGTATTGCTGAAGGATGGTCCATGCCTTTCCCACATCCTGTGGCACAGCAGGAGTAGCAGAGAAGAGAAGGCTTGATTGTCAACATCGCTCAAGGTTTGTTTCTAACAAATTTTCTAATATAAATAAGTGCTCAGTTGGGATTATAATTTATTCAAGTACCTCATATATGTCCTGAGATAAAGTGAGATCAGCTTTGCAGAGCAGCACTCTGACATTCTCTCCCCGAGACACAAATGCTGCTTTCCTGTCCCTGACCATGCTCTTTAATGATAATGCCGAAATGCATGATGTTTTTTTCTCTCCTGGTCAGTAATATAACTGTCAAGCAAGTCATACGTTTCATTAACAGAGTGCTCAGCACAAAACCCAGGGCTGAGGGGAAGGAATTTGAATCTCATCATAGAGAACAGCATCTTTCACATTAATTTTTGAATTTTAGATGTTGGTTTCTTGGTTGGTTTGCTTGTTTAGTTAGATGTGGAATGAGGCGGTAATGTGCTGAGGAGCTGTCTAAAACAAGACTGACAGGAAAAGCATCCAGTGCAGCTGCGCTCCAGACTCGGGGAGCTCTCTGGTTTGTCTTGGTGGGAGCTGTTGCACTGGAGGGAAGTGAAGAACCAGCTCTTTGGTGAGGATGAATCTCAGATGAAACAAAATGGTGTAACTCTGCCGCACATGCTGAGACCTAGGTCACTGATGGACTTAGAGTAAGGCTTTTTGCTCAGACAAGTGCTTTGCTTTGCTCTCGGTGATCACATCCATCTGACTGGCCTGAATAAGCACCAAACAACTGCAGTGAGTCTTTCAGGATAAAGTTTTGAGGTGGTCTTGCTGAAACTACTACCCTTACCTGCCTGACCGCCAGAGTTTGGTCTTCCAGCTGTGTGTTGTGTTGGACTGGGCTGTTGGCTCCTCGGAGGAGGTGCACTGTGTCCACACAGCCACCTGTTTGGAATCTTGTGTAAGGATTTTAGGGATCTGGATTACATCTCAAAAGTGCAGCAAGCTGATAAAGGTGAAAGTAGATCAGGGCTATGGGGTATGGGTCAAGCTGATCTTGGTGAGACAAAGGGAAGGCCTGGTTTTCCCCCTCCTTTTTTACTTTTCTTCTTCCCACCATGTGTCTTTTTGTTGCTTTCACTGAACTGGTTCTCTCCTCATGGAACTACAAGTTCAAGTGCTGCCTTCTCTTCCTGTAGCTGCCTGAGCTCACTCATCTGATAGGAAATTAAATTCAGACTTCTGTTGGAATATGCTATGTTTTTCCATAACAAAACAACAGAACTTTCCAATAGAAAGAAAACAAATCATTCTCAAAGTATGGTTAAAAAAGTTTGCTTGACTTGGGTTTCTAACATGTTAAGCACAGTTCAGCAAATTTGGTATTGACACCTTTACAAATAAATACATGATTTCTATTGGCTTATAGGATAGTAAAGGATTTGCTTTCTAATGACAGGTACTGCTGCCAAGCACTGAGTAATGTGACCAGGAACATGGTCTGAACCCAGTTCATCAGAGCATTTAGCACAGACACATGCTTAAACCAACACAATTTTCAGGAGGTGTTTTAGATGCACTGATTTTTATGATTTTGAGGTTTGAGATCCTGAGTTGGACTTGGATGTTCCTTGTGGGTCCCTTCCAGCTCCAGGTATTCTTTGATTCTCTGATGGTTATTTAAAGATAAGTTATAAACAGGACTGAAACCTTGAAGCCATGGATTCCCCTTGGATTTTGGGGTAAATATGTGGGTACATGTTACAGTCACTTAATGTGCTGATGCAGATTTGTGCTGCAGAAGAGTATGAGTGTAAGAGAGAAATGAATCCCTCCAAGAAGGCTCCTGGAAATGTGTGAGAGGAAGAGAGTTTTCTGTTCCAGGCCCATCACAAGAAGGAAATACAACCTAACCACTATTGATTTTTTGTTAACTGACCTGCAATGAACAGCAGGCTGAATCAGACCTCTTCGCCATATCAAAGGCATCAAGATATCAGAACTTAATGAATAGCAAATCATGACAGACATCAAAACCCCAAACAAACCCAGCCAAACAACAAACCAACACTTTTTTGTAAACTCTTTTTGTTTACAAAAAAGTTGCAACAGAAAAGCTCCCTCACCCCACACATGCTGCAGTTATTAATGGCTTGTCCTCTCATGTGGGACATTGTGCACTAAAATGCATTCTTGGGAGTGCTGAAGTGAATGTTCATTTGGGTCACCAGTAATGTAAGTTTAATTTGCTTAGCCTGACCCAAGGGGAGTCCACATTTCCCTTCTACTTTTCCATCATCCTAAGAAAGGATAAAACAGTGCCAAGCAATTATATAACACCATTCATCTCCCGGCGCTCTGTGAACAATTGCACCACGCTCTGTGTGCAGGCAGGACAAAGAAAAGGCTGGGGAGGAGAAGTCCACGCCTTTCAAAGGGGGACAGGACTCAGAGAGGCACAAATAGGAGTGGGTTTCGCTGGACTGAGAGGTCTCAAATGTGGATCTCAGGGAAGAGAGATTCCCTCTGTGGTCTCTTGCATGACTCTGGGTGGCTCTTCAGGCAAGGACTGGATGCCAGCAGCTGTGCACCATGATCCATCTGGTGGGGTCACTGAACACAGAGGGGACTTTATGCTGCTCTGAGCAGCACAAACAAATCCCTCTTTTGTGTGCTTTTTTCATTTGGGCTCTGTAAGGACAACATGGCACTCCTGCTGGCTGTTCCCTGGCCTCTCCAGCTGCAGACACTGCTGGTCTGGTGGAGGTGGTGCTGAGACATTCTCCAGGCACTGCCCTTCACCTCCCATTAGGGAGCAAAGCACATATCAGAGCACTCTCAGAGGGAGACACTTGCGTGCACAAAAAGTCTGTCTCTTCTGAAACCTATCTCAGAATCACTGAGGTTGGAAAAGACCTCAAAGGTCAGTAAGTTCGACCTGTGTCAGATCACCACTTTGTCAACTGAACCAGAGCACTGAGTGCCATGTCCAGTTGCTTCTTGAATACCTTTGAGTATGGTGACTCCACCACCTCCTGGGCAGCTCATTCCAATGCCTGACAATCTTTTCTGTGAGGAAATTCTTCTTCCTGGTCAGGGTTAGAGAAGCTGGTGCTGAGGTCAAATGAGGAGAGCATTTAGTGGCATGTGACAGTGCCACTGAGCTGTAGTGAGGGATGAGCTGCCTCGATGACATCTGATCCAGCCATTTAGCAAGATGCCATGAACAGGAGTGGAATTTGGCAGGGGCCTCAGGGTGGTTGCTGCCATATTTAGGGAATGACAGACAGAGGGCTTTAAGCACCCCATCAAGACTTTGGCCTTGCCACTTGGCCAGTGGTGAGATCGGAATGTTGTGTGGCAGGCAGGGTGTGGGGGAAGGCTCAGGAATAATGAGGCTGATTCCCCTGCAGGACAGAGGGGCAGCAGGGAAATGGGGAGATGAAGCTCTAACAGCATCTGCCTGCCTTTGGTTCAGCTTTAGCCATGTCACTGAATGACTACCAGCCTCACTCCTCAGCTACAAATGTCCAAAAAATGAAATAGAAAAGGTCTTTATAATAATCTAACCTATGACCAATTAAAATCATTGTTCCAAAATTATTCTGCCATGACTTTCGCTACATACAGCACCACTAAATATTTTTTTAGATTGTGCCATTTAGTCTTTTCACAGGTTCTGTAATGTTTGGGTTTTGGTTACTTTGTTTGTAGTTTGCTTGTTTTGGTTGTTTTTTTGGTTTTTTGGGTTTTTTTTACTTTCTTTCTGTATGCATTAACTGGTCCCTAGTTCTTCTGATCAGCTTGTTAAAATTCTGTTTTTCTGGCCTAAATTTGGGACCTCAGGGTGCTGGCACCTTACATTGGACCTCGGTCATGCCACCTGACATCAGTGTGTCAGCTTATTACACCGAATTTTTCCAGTAATTCTGTGAGCCCATTGACCAAAACATAACTAATATTTGTATGATGAAATATTGTGAAAAATTTGGTTATAGTAGCAATTGAGATAATGTGAAATAAAAACTTTTATGTTAATTGGAATAGGAAAAAAATAAAGCTGATAAGGAATTAATTGGAATTAGAAGTTTTGAAGAGAAATATCAGCTTATTTAAAGAAAAAGAAGGCTTCAAAAAGACAGAAAGTAGGTTTAGATTGGATATTAGGCAGAATTTTTTCCCTATGAGGGTGGTGAGGCCCTGGCACAGCTTGCCCAGAGAAGCTGTGGATGCCCCAGAAATTACCTGATCTAATAGCAAAATGACTGTCCTTCCTAGAAGGCAACAAAGTGTTTTCATTAGAACTTGGGCTTCCTAGTGCACAGTCTTTATGGTTACTGCAGAATTAATAATTTTCCAGATAGAATTTAAAATTTACTAAAAGTCAACTGCAAGTTGTCTTCTGTGTAAATAATTCACAGTCATTAGGGGCATATTTCCAAATAAATCAGTTTTAGCACTTGATTGACAGGAAGAAGAGAAAAAAGAAAGATATATCTTATTTCTGTGCTTCAGTTGTGGTGTGCCATGGAGATTGTAATTTGCAATATTCTTGAAAACAGATGGGGCTGTCTTAAAATTGACATTGGAGAGAATGTTGCTGGAGAATCGCCTTGGATGAAAACAGGTAATAATTTTCCTCTCAAGACAGTGGTTGACTGACCTTCTCCAGTCTTCTGATAAAGCCAGTTTGGACATAAATGTTGAAATATAAGGTCTCTTCTCTCAAATCTCATGTCCAGCCCTGGCCAGGAATGGTGGTTTCCTCATTCCTGGGGTGAGGAATGCAATGGAACCTTGCAGCTCTTCTCATGACAGTATAGCTGCATAATAAATGCTTATGTCAGGGTTGATGTTTCCATGAAGATGCTGAAGGAGAAGATGGGATTTAAATGGACTACATTGGTCTGAGGGTGTAGTATGTATAAGGAGCAGGTAAAATTTCTTCCTTTGCATTATTTCACTCCAGTGATGGTGTCCTAGCACACAGTAATCCCCCTACAAAATATCACAAAATCCATACCAGGGCTTGCTTTGCTCTCTTCAGTTAGTAGGGATTGGTTACATTATACCATACTTAATTCTCTCAAGCAAATTCAACACATTTAAAAATTCTTCCTCTTCCTCCTCCCTGCTTAAGTATAGCTAGAAATGCCTGCGATTGGAAAGGTGAAAAATTATTTGAATTATTTAAGCAACATAAACTCATAATTCTTTTTTCTGTCTTGTTTAAAATGATTTGAAAATCTAATGGGGTGTGATTGAATGCGAGTCATTTAACAGGAATTTGCAGAGCAAATTGTATGAGTTTCTCAGTTCAGAAAACACAGTAATTTTAGAGGCAGTGCTGCACAAGGGAGTTGTTAAAAGGAAGGCTATTGTGAAAATACATGGTGTTTTATTATGCAAGGGAATGGTGCAAAGAAGCAGGGAGTCTGGAGGGTGGGTGACAAAGCCTGTTCTGGGAAGGAATGCCCTCTAGCTTAAGCTTAGCCTCTGTGCTCTGAAGGAGAGAGCGTTCCTTTGGCCACAGAGGAAGCAAAAGGAAGAGCAGGAACCCGCAGCTGAGATACACAAACATTTGACTGGCTCCCACAGTTGTCTCTGGGGGAGACATTTCAGCCACTGGATAAAATACCTGCACAGTATCTCTCAGGATCATGTTTTAAAAGTCTGCCCAGTTCATTGAATGGATACAGGTCCCTGCCTTCAGGAGAACGTGCTGAAGTGTGGATCTAAGGCAGGCACTGGCATCTTCCTGCAGGCCTGGCAGAGTAAGTTCCAGTAACCAACAAAATTTGGGTCACATTCCCACTTGTCTCCCAGAGTATCTCCATCTCAGTGATACATACTTACAATGGAGCAGAGTCTGAGAAGTGCAGAATTCTGGAGCACGAGAGAGAAGTCCCTCTGGAAAGCTTGGAAACGCTGGGTATTTCAAAATAGCATTTGCACTGCTTCTTGCTAGTGGAAAATGGAGTAGCTCTGTTCTTAAAAAGGAAGCTGGATATTCCACTGAGGGGGAGATACAAATTCTCATAGACATGCTGACTGCATCTATATTAGAAAATGAAATGTGCCCAGGACCATTCCCGGGCACTGAGGCCAGCTGGCAGGAGACCAGCTGAGCTCCTGCTGCCAGAGGCTCGCTCTCAAACAAGGTGTTCGGCACTCAGCCTGCTGGGCTCCTTCCTGCCCTTTGCTCTGCCCACATTGTGCCTAGGAAGTATGAGTCTGTACCCAAGCCTACCCAGGAGAGTGCTTGGGTACAGACTTACCAGCGTGACCAGGGGCCTTGAAGTGTAGTTGATTGTGATTAATTGCTTGGGAACATTCCCTCAAATTCCAGAGAGGTGGCAGGTGTAAATACAGCCCAGCTCTGATGCCTTTTGCCCTCAGGTAATTTTTGGGGTATCTTAAAAGCTTTACACATTTCCCCCTATTGGCGCATTCTTAAACAATAATCAGTCTCTATTCACTGAGAACAGTTATTCCTGCCAAAATCTGTTCTCATCTAGTTCTGCTTCCACCTGCACTCATCTATATGCAACTCTAACTAAAAATTACCACACTCTTCCAGATGCACACAGAGGAGCACAAGTGGATCTGACAGTGGGAATGGGATACTGTTGCTTTGGTTTTAGGCTGATTTTCCTGTTTGCCTGGCCCTAGTGTAGGCTATATCTTGTGTTTCAGTCACTGCATCTTCTAACTCTGCTTAGCATTGCAGTTGAGGCCCTGGTGGCCATGCATATCCCCTGGTCTTGCTGTCCAGCAGGATGGACCACAAAATGACTGGAAATTAAAAAAAAAAAAAAAAAAAAAAAAAAAAAAAAAAAAAGGCATGGAAGGCATGGAGACACTCTGCATTCTAGTGCTGAAGAAACCAAGGACCACCCAGCACAGGCAGAAAGTGGGCCAGCACTAGAATTCTTCCATGGCTTCAAGGTGAGCCTATGTGCCACTGGTCCCCAGAGAATGAAACATGAGTTAAATTCAGTCAGAGGGAGAAGAAAAAGCAAAGTTCCTACTTCCTTCCATTTAAAATCTTTCCTGTAGTCATGGGTCTTGACAGCTCTAACTACAATAGTTTAAGATGTCAATGCTGTCAACCACCCTAAGAAGATGGTAAATCACTCTGAAGGGACCACTTAGGACAAGTGAACCTATTGATGAGATTTTTCCTTCAGCACATGTGTGGGCACATCGTTTAGTGTGGGTGTGACGTAGAAAAGACCAACAGAACGTGGAAGTTGGAATGCTGAGGTACACCACCTGGGAAAAAGTGATGGAACTTTTTGTGCCAGAGAATCACTCCTTGAGGTCTGTTTCATCAAGTAAGGCTGAAAACTCTGTTTATTGTATTTATGTGTTAATATTTAGAGACAGGACACATAGTGAAAATGCTTATGTAGAAAACATGAAGATTTGCAAGAAAGCAAAAGTGTAATTCGGATGCCAAACACATCCTGGAGGTGAGTAGATGCAATCATCGTCAGAGCCAGTAAAGAGAGGAGGGCTTTCTAATTATTTCCCAGAAGTACAGCAGTTGTAAAGCCATTTTTGCAGCATTCATGGAAACTTATATTTGAAATATCTCAGAAGCACACCCTGCACTCTGTTCACTCTGTAGCTGCATTTAGTCCTACTGAAGGCAACTGGATTTCATTCCAGGAATCCTGCTCAGATAGACTTGAGCTCTGCAGTCACATCCTTTGTTTTCCTTGACTCCTGACAGCCCAAATTAAACAGAGATCTCTCTTAGCAGTGAGGGAATGCTGTGGGAACAATATCACTTCTTGCCTGGCCTCAGCGTGGCCAAATGGCAGCATGACGTCCTGGCTACATTCGTCCCTCAGGAAAGGCAGGTGATGCTGGGGAGGGGTGTGAAGGGTCCAAATATGGAAGAGAAAATAATCAGAGACTGATGACTGGAACAAAATGCTCAAACCAAAATGCTTTCTCCCCAGGGAAGCTCTCCCACAGCCAGATGCAGTGTTGTTTAGCAGTCTGGATTTCATTCCAGGACTGCACGTGGCTCTTAAGGTCCTGCCTGAGACTTTTTTTGTCTGATGTTGGGCAGCAAACCCAAATAAACAGGAAGTCAGGCCTGAACAGGAATATCACATATCATCCACTTCTCATCCCTGTAAAATCCATCCCCATTCCCTTGTCTGATTTTCTAATTGAATCATCATGGCTGTAAAATCACACTGTAAAATTTCCTCCTCTGGTTTGCAGAGAGCCCAGAGGAGGAACCAGTATAACATATTTGGAATTTGTCTTCCTTTTTAGAAGGGGCTTGCATTTTGGGTAATTTTTTTCCTGGGTTAATGTACATCTGATGTCAGACTCTCCAGATGAGAATGGTTAGACTGGAGTTGACATTTTTAGAAATATGTGCGAATGGAAAAATATCCTGGGAGTGCTGCCAGTGGATGATTTTGTACAGTCTTAGTCTCTGTTGGAGAGGAACCACGAGCCAGGTACCTGTACTGAAAAGAAGCCTTGCTCATAAAGTGTCTTGCTCAGGTGTGTGCCAGACATGCCTTCTCAATTTAGAGAGAGGGCAGAAATTAATTTCAGCAGGCTGTGACTCAGCCAAGCAATATTCAATTCCCCTTTCTGATCAGATGACAAACAGCCTGTTAGTATCTTCCCCAGAGGGAGGTACAATGACCAGAGAAGTTCCTGGCAAAAAATGGATTTTCCAAGGTTGAGCTGTGAAGTGGTGCAAACAAATCTGCCTGACCTGTGGCTGTTCCTTCTAGTTTGGTACTGACATGACTGGGACAAGACAGCTTAGAGCTGAGCTGGTTTGCTGCGAGCCAAACCTGCAGCTTTCTAATTCCTGGTGAGCTGGTGGAATTTGGAGAATGAGTGCAGCTGATTCATGGTGCTGCGAATGTCAGCAATTTTTATGGGCTTTGTGGGGGGCTGGTGTTTGCTGCCTCATCAGAGCAAATGCCTTTTTGGCAGGTGGCAGGCTCCCACAGGGGCTAGGGCAGTGCAGGGTGGGCACTGAGGGTGCAGCGTCAGCTCCTTACAGACAGACAGACAACTCCATCTCCAGCCCCTGCTGAGCTGCTGGCTCTGCGTCTCGGGGGGAGCCTGGAGCTGCTGCTCCCTGCTGAGGCCAGTGCTCAGGGAGCAGCTCTGTGCTGAGCCTGCCCTGCTGCCTGGCAGGATCAGAATGTGCTGAGCCAGCCCTGGCTGGGTGCTCCAGAGAGCCAGCACAGCTCTCCTCCAGCGTGGTGGGCACATCAGCCATCCCAAGGACAGTGGCAGGGTGCTTTCGTGCACACCATCCTTCTCCCATCCTGTCCTGGTTTAGGGCAAATTTGGGAGGAAATGTCCAAAGGGGCTCCTCTAGAAAGCAAATTCAAGCAGCCACTTGTCCAGCCAGTCCAGGAAAATATTTCTTTGGAGAAAAGTGGAAGAACCCTGTTTATTAAACAGGCAAAGCATTCACCAGCACAAAAAAATTGTACAATATTAAACAATAAAACGTCTTGCCAATCTGAAGAGATGGCAAACTCAGACAGTCCCCTTGGTGGGCTGTAGCTCAGCTCACTCAGTCTCTTATCATCCCTCCAGTGCTGGAAATACCGTGGCCCAGCCTGGCCC